AAAAAAATAACTGTAGTAAGAAAAACAAATGAAAAATGCGAACTAATGTAACGTCGTATGGTGAGTTTTTGTTCGTATCGTGGAGCAAAAATATGTTCGAATTTCATGTCGTATCCTGAAAATTTCGTATGCTGGGGTGTTCGTAACCTGAGGTACCACTGTAATAATAATAATAATACCGTAATAATAAGCGCAGAGCCCAAACAGTTAGGAGTTGAACGTTAAAATTTGGTTGAGAATGCACGCTAAGAAGGGATTTTTAGAAATTCCCTCGCGGGGGAGAGGGAGAAAGTTAATATAATAACAAAATTAAAAATATTATGATGAAAAGGTACGTTAAGAATTTAATTCTGGTAGTATAAGTACTATAAATAGTATTTTACGCGGCTAAGACGAAGTCTTAAGCTTTAGTACAGCATTCTGTTTGGTCTTATCGTATTATTATTTTGAATCAAACTTTACCTACGTGCACCGTCATGTCCTCACAGTGGGGATCCACGTTCAAACCTAACCTAACCTATTCTAATAAATTACAAATTGATCTTATTTTGATATTTCAGTAACAAAATTCATGCTTATTTTATTTAAAACTAAGATTATAAAATTTTAAAATTATGATGACAGTTTTAGATTTGCTAATTTATTACCGTTAATGATTCTCTATCTTTTCCGGGTTAGATAATTTGTACCTATTGTCCGTCCTATTGTCCTGTTAAAAGCATACCTTGGGGCAAATTACTTCAATGTTATCTAGAACAGATTCTATTTTGTAGAAACAAATGGTTTCTGGAAAAACGTGATTAATCGAACTGGCTCTAAATCGAAATGTAATTTCTCACAAGCTTGATGTCCGGTATCTGGTTTTAAATTTTTAACTATATAATATCATACTGAAATTGATCAAAGAAGAAAAATCCATACTTTACATGTGCCATTTCATACAATCACAATAGAAAATTGTAAGTTTAAAAACAAGAGTATACTATATTTTTAACTAATTTACTTTCCAATATATTTATTAGGGATTATTTTATTTATAAAATTACATCTCATGCTTTCATTTTATAGAATTTATTAATGTAAAATTCATTTTGTCCTTGAAAATTTTCTCTCATACTCAACATTTTTATGCCTGGGGCAAGTGTATCATTTGCCTTCCTTGTTATATAGTACACCCGATTATAGTGGACCTCGCTTTTACGATTAATATAAATTTTCTGTTATAATTGAAAAGTGCAGTACTTTTGTAGACCATTCGTTACTATTTTCCTTGAATACTAAATTATTGTACTTTTCTTGCTTAATTTAACTTTATTAGTTAATAGTATAGTAAAGGAAAGGACGTCATATTTTTACACAGACTAGCCCTGAAGTGGTTAATAAAAGCGGATTACACTAATCCAATTATCCATGTTTTGTTATCACTTCCTGCTTATTGTGATGCTTCGGGAAAATGCTTTTCTTATTTAGTAAACAGCATTATTAAAATTTTTAAGAACTCATTTGTTAAATTATCATACGATTTTCACTGATTAACACCATTAAAAACTCATTAGTTTATATTTTTGACTAATGTATCCAATGTTTCGGTAAGATAACAAAGTAGATCAATAACGTAAATCGAATAACGTTGCTTGAGACTGCCAATGAGATCTTTTCCAGATCATTAACAAATGTTAAATTACATGCGAGAATAAACACTAATGAATTCAAGAAAATTTAACAAAAGCATGTCAAAAATGCATAAAATGATAATTAAAATAACATGGCTGAAATGAGGATTTATGTAACTACCTAAATAGAACTACTGTATACTCATTCGCCATCCTCGCGTTTCTTTATGCAGCGCTCGAGAAGCGCTTTACAGCGAACACATTGAAACTGGTTTCTAATTGGCCAACACTGCTCGTGACGTCATTTCGCTACACTCGCTGCATAAAGAAACGTGGCCCATTTTAGTGAAAGAAATTCGGTTTCGTATAGCAAAATCATATAATTATATTTCATTCTTATGCATTGATATGTTGGTATAAAATCACATGAATTGATATTAGAGGCTATCTATTTTATTTTATTTTAACTATAACCATATCAACTGTATGTAAAAGCGTCCATAGAGAGAACTCAATCCGTCCTTTAGTCAATAAGAAAAAGATTAAAATAAATCGAAATGAATAATAGTATTTCGTTAGAAAATTCGGAATTATAAATTCTGAAATCCATCCATACTTCTGTTAAAGACGTACGGAAATTTATATTGCGTTTTAGACCTATTAAATATTGAGAGCAAGTTTTGTTGTATGCCAATTTAGGAGTTTCTCCCTAGATTTAGGAGGTAATCAGCACGATAGGGAAAATTTAGAGGGTAATTCAGAGCTGTAGAGTCATTTAAAACTTACCGACTCCGATGCCCACCAGTGGCCAAGCAGTCTTCATTCCCTGAACACTGGGAGTTCGGTGGTTTCGCGCCTCGCTCGGACTCGAACCCGAAAAACTCCACGTGGCCACAGCCACGTGGAGTTTTTCGCCGATATGGTTAGTCTGCCGATAATGGTTAGTGGAGTTTCAACCACGAATAGGAGCTTCCAAAAATCACAACTCATGACTGCTCTCGCTTCATTATGTGATAATTTTCCTCAACTGTGCCCACTCCGCTTGCTCCCTAAAGTAAAAATTTGTTTTTCTATGGATTGTCTGAAGACTGATATTTTTTTGATACGTATTACATTCTCTTTAGGGGAATTTGTTTCAGTTTTTAGGATGAACTCTTATTAGTTTTGGGAAAATTTCCTGTCTGTTTAGGGGTTTTCACCAGAGGTTGAGAACTCTAAGTAAGACGTGTATTCTTTAAAACATTCTGATAATAAATGCTTTGATTTAGCAAAATGAATATGAGAAATAAACACGAGAAACTTTTAAATTCCTGAAAATAACAGGGATTATTTTTCCCGAAAAATTCCAAAAGAGAATTTTAATAAACTGGATTTCTTATATATGAGAAAAACCGATAGTTTTGTAGACGTTAAACGTTTCAACAACAGCTATTTAATTCAAATTAATTGTTGAATAATTTGATACGCAACAATGCAACATATGATTTTTAAAAAATAAATTTTACAAAAAAATCCAATAAATATATTTTTTAAAATATTTTATTATTTTATTATTTTATAAGAAGTATTAAAATGAAAAAATAAGACAGAATAAATTCATTTTACAATAAAACCTTATAAGGCAGACGATGGTCTGACATATGTGGATAGGGACGGGGTTCACCAACTAATAACAAAGTGCCAGTACCCATTAGCCATTGCGCGCTGTGAAATCCTGGCTGATGCAGATCGACTCTAAAGCAAGTCAGAATAAAAGAGAATTATTATTGTCTCCTTTAAAAAATCCCTTCTGCCGATCTCTACCAACGAAGAATTCAAGTTTTCCAGTGAAAAGATATTTTTCAGACTAACCAAATTCCTGTTTTCGGGTAAGATGCATTAGGCTTAAGCACACCTTTTGTTTAGTGTGATTTATACAAGACGGTGTTTAAACCTTTACGTTTTTCTCCTTTCTCTAATGTTTTATTCGCTTTCTTTCGTCGTTTGTCGTCGGTATTCGTCCATATATGAACGATTGAATTCGAATATATTAACGAAACCTTTCCAAATTTCTTATATACTCGTGCGTAAGACCATGTGTAAGGCCTATTTTGGTTGAAGTGTGGTTCGTAAGATTTTCATCCATTCTTAACATTCTTCTAACGCATTTTTTTCCCTCTTAATAACTTAACTATTAATAATAATCAAGTAAATAATTTCACTCGATCGTCATAAATCTGTATTCAAAGTTACACATGGGTCTTAATCTATTTCATATTTTTGCTCCATTTTTAGAAGTGCAAGCGATGGATTTATATATGAAATAGATGTTGAATTTGCAATATAAATATACTAATTTTTTAATATGTTTTTGGGTAGAGAATGCATTGATTTTTTTTTAAGGATATGATGGAACCTAAATAGTTTTTATATAAAAGCAGAAGGAATCAAGCTATAAGGATTAATTATTTAAATTTATGTAATTTAAAAATGTAAAATGTGATATCAAATTGAAGGAAATTAACAAAGAAATGTGGTTGTTAAGTTTATTCTTCATTTCAAAAAATGATTTTTTTTTTTNAGTCCAAAAATGTAAAAATCTTGAGAGGAGTCTTTTTTTTAGTTGATTGTTATACTTTTCTTCTGTTAACAGCTGTGAAAGTAAAATTAAATATGGATAATAATATACTAAAATATATATACATGAATATATACACAAAACAGGATAATAATTATAAATTATATGTGGGCATTAGGTTATATATTTATTGCCACACTATAATATAAATTATAGTGTGGGCATTAGGTTATGTCTCCATTGTGTGTAAGGTAATCCCATGTTATACAATGCTTCAGTCTTTATTGTTAATGTAATCCCCTTTCAATATTACTTTAAATATTTCTAGTATCTATAATGTTCTTAATCAGTATTCTTTGAAGTTTTATACTGTTAAAAATAATTTTATCTTTATATTTATGATTAATAGATTGTTTTCCTTATTAAATTTACAAATTTTATAATTTACAATGAACATCATGTACTGTTTCACATCCAAAAAATTGTCACACTGCTTACCTACTAACCCAAATCATTTCTCTGATAAAATTAGAATTAGTAATGAATCTTCTTTAAAATTGCTAATTATAATGTACAATATATGAACTGAAGTTGAATTAAAGTTAGAAAAATATTAAATGAAAATAATGTGAAGAAATGTGGACTATAAAGATGTGTTTTCTTACGAGGGAATATTAATTTTGAATGAAATGTACTGTGTATTTATTCTCGATTTTGATATAATTGTGGTGGTGTTATGTATTCAGATAATTCTAATATTGATTTGATTTTGAAATTTATTAACTTAAGATTATTCTGGTGTCCTATATCAACTGCTATCCAAACTATTTTCAGAGGACCATATTCTAATTTGTGTGACCCAATAAAGTGAGAACATTTAGAATAAGCAAAACAATGTTCTGAATTTATAATAAAGATGAATTTAGTTGTCTATGCATTGTAAATATTTGTATATTTCGTTATCTTAATGCATCCATTTAGTTCAGTGTCATTATCTTTTTGATTTCATTTGAATAGAGTAAATTTTATTTTGAACGATTAAAATAATTTTAATCTATCATCTATTTTAACTTTCTTGCATTCTTAATTCTGTAACTATCTATGTTAACCTTTAAGATCTTATTCTTAATCTATAAACAGAAACTTTAAATTTAAGATTTAAATTTACTATCAGTACAGACTTAAATCTTAAAAAATTCAGAAACCTAAAATTTCAAATTAAATAAGACTATATAAGAAATTTTAAAATGTTACTGTCTCTGTTGATTTCATGTATAAAAATGAAAAATATTTTATAATTAATATTGAATTTTGAAAATCTTTAATTTCTAAATGATTACAGTTGAATATTTTTAAGCCTTGCAGAATTTGGTATATTTCTTATTTTTAATTTCTGTAATCATTAATATTAATATGGAATTTATAACAAACAAATAATGATGAATAATGTTTAATTGTTTCTATCATCAGAATATTGAATTTGTTCATTTAGTAAACAAGAAATTGTAGAAAACTAAATGTGTGATGCTTGTGATCTGAATTACTGTAGGCAACACTGCTGATATTTTTGTAACTTAAATGAAAATTTCTAATAATGGTTGAATAGAATGCACCCTGTACACTTAATCAGGAACACATCATAAACCTTAAGAGTTTTTTAAATATTTGATAAAAATTGTTTATGATCATATTAAAGTATATAATTGTTTTAGAATGCAAACTCTTGTGAACATCAATAATTTATGGATCTTATATTGCCGCAATCCTACAGTATAAAAGTTACTGAGAAATGATAAAAAGAATGCAAACATAGTGTATTACCAAATCAATGCAATTTTTTTAAATATGTTGCTAAGAAATTATTAATTTTACAAATTTTAGTTGAAACTAGTTACTTTTATACTATTTTTCTGCTAGAAAAACGAAACCCCATACACATATTTTCCAACAAACAATTTATTGAGAAATATGACCATTTTTGGCTTATTTAAGAACTCTGCTTCAGGTCTAACTGCTGAATTTCAAATTTTTTTGAGATTCCAAAATGGAATGCTTCAAGTGTTCTATGATTTATTACATATTTTGAACAAAACTAGTATTTAGCTTAATGCACATCTTATTTTAAAAAATTGAGCAATGAGTTGCATAATTTTCCTGGCAAAAATACTTGATTGTGTGTGGTGTCATCTGTTATGATTTTAAAAACTTTTTATATTATTAAATTAATTAATTATTATAAAATGACAGAAAGCTTCATTTTGAGGATAGAAATGAGTTTTATAAAAAAGAAAAAAATTGTAAATGCTAATAACAAGTAAAATCTCCATTAAGTCAACTCCCATTTGGGGTATGACACCTGATCCTCTCTATCTCTCCACCCTGTTGATCTTTAACCACCAAAATTTAGTAGATCAATCTCCTTAATATACAAACCTCTTTGTAAAATTTCAGGAAATTCTGACAAAAACACAGGAGTTATTAAGCTTCAAAGTTGATGAACAAAATTGTGCCTTACATACACACAAGCCAAACGATTTTTTTTTTTTTTTTCATTTCTGAACGTTTTAAGATTCAAAGTCCAAAAATGTAAAAATCTTGAGAGGAGTCTTTTTTTTAGTTGATTGTTATACTTTTCTTCTGTTAACAGCTGTGAAAGTAAAATTAAATATGGATAATAATATACTAAAATATATATACATGAATATATACACAAAACAGGATAATAATTATAAATTATATGTGGGCATTAGGTTATATATTTATTGCCACACTATAATATAAATTATAGTGTGGGCATTAGGTTATGTCTCCATTGTGTGTAAGGTAATCCCATGTTATACAATGCTTCAGTCTTTATTGTTAATGTAATCCCCTTTCAATATTACTTTAAATATTTCTAGTATCTATAATGTTCTTAATCAGTATTCTTTGAAGTTTTATACTGTTAAAAATAATTTTATCTTTATATTTATGATTAATAGTACTGTTTCACATCCAAAAAATTGTCACACTGCTTACCTACTAACCCAAATCATTTCTCTGATAAAATTAGAATTAGTAATGAATCTTCTTTAAAATTGCTAATTATAATGTACAATATATGAACTGAAGTTGAATTAAAGTTAGAAAAATATTAAATGAAAATAATGTGAAGAAATGTGGACTATAAAGATGTGTTTTCTTACGAGGGAATATTAATTTTGAATGAAATGTACTGTGTATTTATTCTCGATTTTGATATAATTGGTGGTGGTGTTATGTATTCAGATAATTCTAATATTGATTTGATTTTGAAATTTATTAACTTAAGATTATTCTGGTGTCCTATATCAACTGCTATCCAAACTATTTTCAGAGGACCATATTCTAATTTGTGTGACCCAATAAAGTGAGAACATTTAGAATAAGCAAAACAATGTTCTGAATTTATNTTTTTTTAACCACATTCCCGATAACCCGGCATTTTCACAAACTCGGCCACCCTTCGGTCCACATTAGGCCGAGTTTCCGAGGTTCTACTGTAATTATAGAATTCATTTTAAACAAATTCTTAAAGCTAATTTTTCCGACAAAATTTTATAATGATATATCTAGAAATTTTAATTGAAAAGAAATGATATTCATATAACAATCATAATATAAGAAATTTTCAATAGTTATTTCTCTCAGCAATGTAGAATGTAAGTACTAAAATCTCTGTTAGGCTGAAAGAAAATATATATGACAACTTGAAAGAACCTTAAAAGTACTTCCACCAACAAATTTTAATACATTTAAATGTTTGTCTATATTCTTTTAATCTATAAATAAATATCTGCATCAGGTCTCATTAGTGTTCCAAATTGGAATGCTAGGCATAACATGTATTTTGAATATTCCAAATATATTCAAATATGTCAAAATATATGACTACAAAAAAATAATACAAATGAGTGTTGGGTAACTGCAATAATAGTGTTTGAAACAAAAGTACTTGAACTTATATAGCATATACAATAAAACATATACAAATGTGGGGATTTAGTCCACATGTGAAGAACTTGGATTGTCATAGAAAATATGCCATGCACAAGAGACATTTATTTCATCTTCGAAATTGGTGCAAACATTTTTTTTTTCAGGTTTGAAAAAAAGGTGATTTGCAGAATATCTGGTGTATATGTTACTGTGAAGGACCGAAATTAGATAATGTCGATATTCTCCGGTGAATGTCAACACATACAAAATACATCGGTGAAAGTCCGAATATTTAGTTATATTATTATACATTCAAACAATCACCGATGTATGTTGACAAGCACAGATAAGCTT